GTTGCGCCGTCTTTGTTCGGAGAGAATGTGGTTCTGTCGTTTTTCGGATTCGGTCAGCAGCTCTCTCTTGCTGCCAGCATCGCGATCCGCTTGCATTGAAGTGTCTTCGCCGTCATCGTGCTCCGTTTTGAGCTTCTTGCCACCTGCGCTGTGTTTGGATGGCGTGGGTGCGGGGACGGATGTCGGTTGCTGTGACTGCGATGCGGCAGCTAGACTGCGCGATTGCGCCACCATGTCGAGCCCTGCGCTCATGTTGAACATGTCGGCGTGCATCCTGGTCAAAGAGCCTAGTGCGAGCGCCGCCTGCGTCTGCTCATCCGCTTCACCGGTGCCAAGGTGGCCGGCGTTGCGCTTGGACCCGACTGCGGAAAGGTCGTGTGCGCTGTGCTGCGCATATTGTTGTGGTGCAGTATGTTGCTGTGACGACCATTCAGAGAGGCCACCGCCGAAGGCTGTGTTGACCAGATCAGCTTCGTGGTGGTAAGCCCGCGACTTGCCGGTGCTGAGGCTGCGCTGATGGGCATGGTTGCGGGCCGAGCCGTGTGGAGATGTGGCGGAGGAGGAAGTGTCGTGCGGGCTCTGAGACGATGATGCGGTGGCGGATCCAGAGCCCGAGCCGGACGATGCCGTCGCTCCCGAGGCAAGCTTGGTACGGGCTTGGAGGCGGCGCGCTGCCGCTGACATGGCAGCGCCTTCATGGAGCATTGGATCGCGACTGGCGGCGGCTGAGCCAAAGTCAGCCGGGAAACCCATTGCCTCGGCGGCCGCTGCTGACCTTTCCGCTGCGGCGGCAGAAAAGCTGGGCAATCCCTCGGGCAGGCTAGGATCGAAATCCCATTCGAAGCCTTCTAAGAAGTTGACGAGCATGTTCTTCTCTTTTGCATCGAACAGCTGAGCACCCTGAGAGTGTTTGTCGCTCGCGCCTGGCGTGCCGATGCCGAAAGGCGACATGGTGCCGCTAGGAAAAGCATCCAGATCGAACAGATTTGCGCCCGAGGGTTCAAAGTCGGGGGGTGGAGGAGGCCGGAGAGCCGACTCGGAGAAGCGAGAGGAGCCGACGCGCGGAGAGGCGGGTCTGCTTCCCTTGGACAGGCTTCCTCTGCGGCTGTTGGACCTGCTGGCCATGTGAATGTCGTCTTGTCCGAAGCCCAGAGTCTGGGGAGTGGAAGCCAAGAAGTGCGATGTGAGGCCTGGAGTCATGGGATTGGAAGGCCCGCCTTTGCGATCGGCCGAGCTGATGAACTGGAGGTCGTGGAGATCGAGCTCAGCCGGAAGGTCGAGGGAGAAGTGGAAGTCCTCGTACGGGACGGGCATAGGCGGAAGGTCGGAGCCTTTGTCGGTGGCATCGTTTTGGTGCTGCATGGCTTCAGCAGAAGACGAGGCGGTGGCGTTCAAAGGAGGCTGGTGTAGCGAAGATGGAGTAGTCACGTCGTGAAGGTCGATTCGGGGAGGAAGTTGGACCGCGACGCTCATGCTTTGCGCAGCCGAGTGTGGGCGGATACTTCTGCGTGCGGGGAGCAGCTCGGTCAGGACGAGCTGAAGGGCGAAAGGAAGATGCTAGGCCGTCCAACTGGACGGCAAGACAAAGCTTTTCTTGACGGCGGAGAGATAGTCAGAAGCGCAGGACTCAAGTCGCAGATGTCGATGATGCGAGCTGATGACCAGACATGGACTCGTGCTAAATCGTGGCTTCGAATGCGAAGCGAGGTGGTGGCAGATGCGATGTGAGCTGGTCCGGGGCGTGCTAGACGTTTTGCGAGGGCCCGACGCAGAGACGAGTTTGCGAATCGACAGACGCCTGCCAGACGGAAGCAGCTGCAGCGGCGGTGGTGTGGTGGCGGTGCGAGTGTCTGCACGACAGCTGCGAGACTATTGACCGATCACGAGAGCGATGGGATACGTGATGTGCAGGCGATGCGTGTAGCAAGGTGAGCCTTGCGTTGCGCTCGGAGGATATGGTGGTGGGGAAGGCGGGAGGGAGGCGGCGATCCAAGCGCGAAGAGAGTGCGACAGCGACGAGGCCCGGGTGGTTGGATCAGGGCTGCGGGACGAGGGCAGGAGAGAGTTGGGCACTGCCCAAGCGCCGAAAGCAAGCGGCCGGTTCTGCTGGTGCTGCAGGCGGTGGCTGCTGGGCTACGGCGAGTCAAGCATGCGTCCGCAGAGGCACATTTTCTGGATGCAGTTTGTGATGGCTGCTTTGCGTTGCACGGGGCTGCTGGGCTGCTGGGCTGGGTGCGGTGCTCTCGGGCCAGCCGGTCGCGTGTCGCCGGATGCTGCCACACCCGCCTCCTCAGACTCAGCCCAGTCAGCGGAGCCACTAATCCAATTCCAGCACCGACCCCAGCCTGGATGGCTGCCCGAAAAACCAAAAACCAAAAATAAGTCCCGCCAAGTTGCTGTTGCGAGCAGGCACACTCTCTCGCCAACGCACGACAATCTCGACCTGCCATTCACGGCGCAGGCAATCTGCGATGGCAATCTGACGCTCACTTTGGCTTGGTCGCAAGCGGACAGCGAGGGCGATGTTACTGATGCGGAGCGATGATACCGATCGCACCGTGTCACACTCTGATTGTGGGGTCAGGGCGGGTGCGCGGGGCACAAGGGTGAAGGCTTGGGCCGCGAGCATGCGAAGGACCCAGTTTGCAAGAGGCCCTTGCCAGCATCGTGTGCACGGCTCAGCGTGGATTTATTGTTCTTGCTCGGCCTTGGAAGGTGAAGCCACACTCGACTGGTCAGGCGGCACTCCATTGGCCAGGTGAGACAGCGTTCCACTCGACGACTGGGATCAAAGCCATTGGGCAGCAAGCGACCATCGGCATGCTCCTGCACGCTCTGCTCGATTGCGCGCAGCCGCAGGAGAAGCGCGTTTCGGAGGTTTTATTTTGAATAAAAAAGGGGCGCAGTCTTGCTCGGCTGGCAGTCAGTTGGCCAAGCACGTCTGGTCGGGATGACATCCGAAGAAAAGACGGCATGTACATCAGCATCTTTCTTCGAGACTCATCAGAACTGCGAGTGCGGGGAAAAGGCTAACGATCATGTCGGACTGAATCGGAATAAGGCTCGGACGTGCCAAACTGCCGTGGCCAGGAGAAAGGGGGCCCCAGATGGAGGGCGAGCTCTGAGACCCGGAAGGATCGAGGTTACCACCGAACCGCGTTGTTGGCAACCCCCCAAGCCAGGAAGGGAAAAAAAAGAGAAGAAAAATCGGTTACGTCCAGCCAGCCTCCGCAGCTTCATTTCAGGGGCACAAGAGCTGGACCAAAATATCCCCAGGTTGCTCTTGCTAGTTTGATCCACTGACGTCCCGGACGAGGCGGTGTTGGAAGCAGCATCGGATGCGAGCGAAAGGGCATCCAGTGCCAAGGGAGCAACAAGGTAGCCAGCGGAAAGCAACGAGGCCGACTTGGACAGGTGCGTCGCGTGAAATGGAGCAGGGATGCGGTTGAGCAGTGCTCGGCTGTGGCCATTGCGGCTCCCGACATGTGTGAGGCGCCCTTCCGGCTTCCTGCAGCCGCGTCCATGCCTAGACCGCATCCGCCTCGGCTGCGCCGCCCGGCCAAATCGGATCTGGCCCTTGACTTTCGATTGGAAATTCGTTTGAGGCTGTTAGCTTCTTCCCCTCTCTCTTGGCCTGGTGCTCGGCGATCTCGTGACGGTTCGCATCGGCAGATCCATTGTTGGCACGCCAGATCGACAGGCCGCCGAATGAGCCTGCTGCTCTGCAAGTGATCCCGAACGCAGCTTCTGGTGTCTGCCTTTACAGTAGTTGCCTTCGAGCTGCATCGTGTTCCCGCTCACGTTGGCCCGTAGCTTGTGCCAATGCCTTGTGCACATCAGGCTATGTCACTGCTCCTCCTCAGGGTCAGGACTCTGCCTTGAGGTCACGGCCTTTCTGGGTGCTCGCTTCTCCCACCGATTTCAATGACGCCCGCCTATCTCGCACATGTCCAGAGTGCGATTCATGCTGCCATAGCGATCCATGGCTGCGAATGGGATCGGCACCATCAACTCAAAACTTCACTCGCTGCATGGGAAGCGGGGCAATCCTCGCGTACGGCGATACGTCATGTTCGCATGCTCACGCCGCGTCTCACCTTAATTTGTTTTTCTTTTGCATGCAGGCGGCCCAACAAGACGGCGCCCCTCTTCTCCACACCCGATCCATGAGTGGCCTGGCGATGGCTTCCTCGGATTCGCCGGGCGGAGTAAACGGCTCGAGCTCGTCATCTTCCAGTCCACTTGGACCCCGACGAGCTCGCCAACGGATGGTGCTCCGCGAAAACCTCCTGGTCCACGAAGCCGGAGTGCAAACTTTACCTGCGCTCTCGAGGCGGTCGCGTGAGCTGGGATCGTCACGCGGCATGGGCCGCCTGCATCTCCCGTGACTGATCCAGGCAACGGGATCGCCACAAAGGACGGTGGGAGAAAATTCGACAGGACTCGCCATGGCAGCCGATTCTGTTCGTGATTCGCCTCGCCCATGCCTCAAACTCTGTCCCTTTCCAACAGCCTCGGCTCCCGCTCAAGCCTCGCCTTTGCAATCGATGCTCTCGGCTTGGATACGGAGACAGGCACAAACAAAAGACCTGGCAGCTTGGGCCTTTTGCACGCTCACACCTCGCTTGCGGCGCCAACGTCATGCTTCCCTCGCATCGACGAGTCCACATCTGGGTGCTTGGTGCGCCTTCTTCAGCGAGCCCAATCGATCAAGTCGGCCAGGTCTCTGGGCCTTGGCTGTTGCGACTGGGGATGCCCGGGAGGCATAGGAAAATACTGTCGCTGTTAGATCCAAAGTCAACTGCCAGCCACGTGATCAGCTCAGTTGAGTGTTACTTTTGCGACCCGCATGCGCTTCTTCTGCTGGAATGGTGGCATGCTGCAACCCGTCCAAGTGCGAACTTCGCCTTCACGTCACTTGACTGGAGCCGGCCATCTCTCACGGCGCTCTCGATTCTTCTTCTATTCAGCCTACCCAGCTGATCGCCCGACCACACAGCATGAGCTCACACAATCTCCGCGAGACCACTGTCTCCGCACCGGGCAAGGTTCTCGTCGCCGGTGGATACCTCGTCCTCGACCCAGCCTATCCTGGTTCGGTCATCTCCACTTCCTCCCGCTTCTACTGCCATGCGCGCTCGCAAACCTCCAAGAGCTCGTCGGATGCAGCCAAGGAACAGAGCTGCACCGTCACTGTCCACTCTCCGCAGTTCCTGGATGCCGAATGGGTGTACAGGGCCTCATTCGTTCCCTCCACCGCCTCGGCGCAGGACCAGTCAAAGGGACACTGGGTCCTCGAACAGACAGCCGAGTCGCGCGCCAAAGCCGGTCGCAACCCATTCGTCTCGCTTGCCCTTGCATACACTCTCCGACTCGCCGCAGAGGTCAAGGGGGACGACGAGCTCCTGTCGCTCCTTCAGCGCACCCGGTCCGAAGGGATCCGCATCACCGTCGCTGCGGACAACGACTTTTACTCGCAAAGAGAGACTCTCAACCTTGCGCCAGGAACAGCTCCTACGGTCGATCAGCTCCAGCAGCTTCCACCCTTTTCGCCACAAAAGTGCCGCATCGGCGACGTGCACAAGACCGGCCTCGGCTCGAGCGCCGCTATGACCACGTCGCTCGTCGCTTGTTTCCTGCTGCATCTTCAAGCGGTCATCCCCACGGACTCGGGCTCTCTTGAGACCGAGGACCTGGCTCTCATCCATAACCTCGCCCAGCTAGCCCATTGCGCAGCGCAAGGCAAGGTAGGCTCGGGCTTCGACGTCAGTGCCGCGATCTGGGGCAGTCAACTCTACCGACGTTTCGGACCAAAGGTCCTTCAGGCCTGCCTCGATGAGGGCGAGAAAGTCCTTGCCGAGGGAGAAGAGTCGACAGAACAGCGAGATGCTCGGCTGTCAGCAAGAACGCAACTGCTGCCCGTCTTGGATCCCTACAACCCGCTTTGGAAAGCATCGCCGCTGTCCTCCAGTGGTGCCCCTGAGGACACCAGCGCTCACTCTACTGCGACCGAGGGTCTCGTCGCATCGGGTCAAGATCAAGTCGCCAGACCTGCCCCCTTGCAATTGCCCCCTGGTCTCGACCTCCTCTTAGCCGACGTTGACGCGGGCTCCAACACGCCCAGCCTCGTTTCCAAGGTGCTGTCTTGGCGCAAGGAGAAGCCCGAGTGGGCCAATCAGCTCTATAACGTCATCGCCGCCTCCAATCAGAACCTTGCCGACAGCCTGCTCAGGCTCCGCATCTTGCACGCTTCCGACGCCTCAACGTACGAGGAGCAAATCAATGCGGCCGCCAAGCAGCTGTCAAGCGAGTGGGATGCGACGCTCAAGCAGCTCCCCCCAGCAGCCGACCAGAGCCACGACGACGAGGCTGATGCTTCGACCGTCGACCTGAGCGTGACCCCGCGCACGGTACTGCAAGCGCTGTCGGATGTGCGCAACAGCCTGCGCTCGATCCGGGCAGGCATGCGCGAGCTCGGCAACCGGGCAGGCGTGCCCATCGAGCCGCCAGAAATCGGCGCCCTGATCAAGAAGATCAGCGACGAGATCCCCGGTGTCGTAGGCGGCAGCATTCCAGGCGCCGGAGGCTTCGATGCCTTCTACATCATTCATCTCGAGAGCACCGATAGCCCGCGCAGCCTGGCTCAGATCTGGCACCAGATCCACAGCGTCAACGAGAAGGACGAATCCAAGCTTACCCTCGGACCACTGCTGTCTCGAGCGGATGGAGCCAAGAGCGCATCGGACGAGGGTGAAGATGGCGGCCGGGGCGAAGAAGATGCTGGTCCCGTCGCAATGCTTTTGAAGAAGCTCAAGGCGTCCGAGCATGCAGGACACGACTTTGGCCTTCGTCTGGAAAAGGTGGACGAGGTCAAGGGTCTCAAAAACGCGATCGACACCTCAGTCTGATGTTGAAGCAAACATGTGCCTATAGACTAGCATCGGATCGAAGATACCCATCCCTCAATGCGATGCTGTAGTGCCAAAGGCTTAGGCAGCAATTGGGCGTGGGAGCTGAGTGATGTGGCCACAAGCGCGAGCGAGCGCGCGTCGTGTAAAGAAGAAGGATGAGGCGCCCAGCAGGGTGAAATTCGGCACGCAACCCAGCGCGAAGTGTTGGTTGGATCGCTGTTGGACCCTGCGCCCGCAAGACCAGACTCAGCTTCTCACCTTTCTTCTTGCTTCGCGTTCATGGCGCTGTCTGTTCTCGCAGGCTCTCAACAAAACGCTCTGCATCGAGTATGCTTCAACAATGAGCATGCGCGATAGACAGGCTGGCGTGCGATGCTCGGTGCTCCAGCGGCACTTTGCCGAGGTCGTGCCTCTGCTCACCTTGATTCACGATCGCTTTGGCATCGACGCCTCCACATCCTCTTCGAGATCGACACCTGACCTCTCGGAAGAGCGTTGGGCCTGCCTCGATGGAACGGTCGTTGGTCTCGACCAGCATGCATCCGATGCGTCTCAGAGTCGATCTTGGAACGCCGTGATCTCGAGCAGCGCGACCTCTCACCACACTATCTACGAGGCGGTCCAGGAAGCCCAGTTACAGATCCTCTCCCTGACGCCCGCCAGGGTTACAACAGCAATCCATGGCCGACCGACAGCCTCGAGCAATATCCTGCTGAAGGGTTACCGGCGTCCCGATGACCGTCTAGAGTCGTTCCGCATCACGTCGACCGGCCGACCCGGTTTGATCAACCTGTTTCCCAACTCGATGGTCACAAACCTCGTCCTGGAGAAGGAGTGGCACTACCTCTTCCACAAGATCGGCTCCGAGAGATTCACCTGGCTGCTAGTCCATACCAGCATCTTTGTGCCGCTGATGCGCAATGGAGCAGACGGCACGTGCTTTGTCCAGCTCACAGGACCAGCTCTGAGCGAGCCTGCCACCCTCAAAACGACCTCGGATGAGCAAGCTCATAGCCGTGTGAACGGCGTGCCAGAGCTCGGTCAGGACCGCACCAATCTGCTGGCGCAGAAGCAGGACAAGACCCCGGAGCCCCCTGTTGAAGTTGAGACGGATTGTGCCGCGGAAGCAGCCGTCCCCGATGCAGCACGAAGCTTGAAGCTAGGCAAGCGGGCGAGGGGCTTCAAGAGGACCACATCACGCCTCAGCGCGAGGTCAGCGGCATCTGACGCCGACATCGGCGCATCGGCCGCCAATGCAGGAGCCTTAGCGAGGAAGCCGACCGAGATCGTGTTGGTGCGAAGCCGCATGTTCTACGCCCGCTCTTCTCGCAACAAGGCTGGCCGCGTCGAAATCGGTCTACCGAGCGTCCATGTCCTGCCCCGTTCAGGCTGCGCCAAAGAGCTCGACAAGGTGCTTCCGAACTTGACCCAGTCTTCTGGCACAGGTCAGCATACGGCGTCGAACAAGATCAGCTTGCTGCGGAAAAGCCGCCCATCTCCCGACACCGCGAATGAGCAGAAGCGAGGCTACAGAGATGCCGACTCCATCTTCACGGCAAGAAGGACCCGCCACCTGGCTAAGTACGTATTTCCGCGCCAGTTTGGTCTGCACAACGTCTTTACTGGTGCTCGCGACTTCGACACGACTACGCAGCCTTTCAGGGACTACACGGTTCGAGAGGCCGAGATCAAGACGCTTGGCGCCAAGCGCACTCCGAAGGCTGTCCGAAGCGCTCTTCCTATCCTGGCAAAGATACTTGTGCGGCACGACAGACTCAACTACCGCGCGCTCTTGGATCGCTGCTGTCCATCGCGAGTTCCCAAGGGCAGACTGACGGCTCAGGAGCGCAAGCAGATCGTCGAGGACCTTGCAGAAATCGAGACGCTACAAGCAGGCGCGCATCACTCCACAGCGCGCGATGTGGCCACAGAGCGACACCCTCGGACTTCTGGTCCAAGCGGCGTGCTGACGGACAGCGCCCACACAAATACTCCATCCAAGGGAAAGACCACAAGTATGACTCCGAAGTTGAAGGTTGAGCTGCCGGCACCTGCGGCACGCAAGCCGCGGTATCATAACTATGCAGTGCCCACCACTGGGCAGGTGGCGCACTTTGCCAAGCTGGCCGTCAAGTCGCTGCTGCCGCGCGACCTGTTCGGGTCGCGCCACAACCAGAACCTGATTTTCGACACGATCGGTGAGTTTGTGCGATTGCGCCGCTTCGAGTCGTTCAATCTGCACCAGATCGCGCAGTCGTTCCGTTTTGCAGACGTCGATTGGGCTCTGCCTCCTCGGGCATCGCGCAAGCGCCGCCTGTCGCGCCACGACGCTGAGGCTCGCAAGAAGATCGTTCTTGAAGTGCTGTACTGGCTCTTCGATGGACTGCTCATCCCGCTGCTACGAACCACCTTCTATGTCACCGAGACCGCGGCGTACCGCAATCGCGTGCTGTACTTCAGGCAAGACGATTGGCACGTCCTCTCACGTCCCGTGCTGGGCCAGCTGAAAGAGACCCTTTTCGAGCCATTGACACGTGCCGAGGCACTCGCGATGATGTCGTCCCGCAAGCTGGGCTACTCGCACGTGCGACTGCTACCGAAGGAGACTGGCGTTCGGCCGATCGTGAACTTGCGACGGAGGAGCACGAAACAGGTTCACAATGCCAAGAAGATCGACCAGGAAGAGGGAAAGTCAAAGTCGAAACGAGCCAGAGCGGCAGCAGTTCCCACTGCGAAACAGCGCAAGGAGTCGCTCATGCTGGGCCAGTCGATCAACTACATCCTGCAATCCGTCTTTCACGTGCTGACCTACGAAAAGAGTCGCATGTTGGCAGCGTCTACATCTCGAGGCCACACGCTCGGGGACGAGACAGAGCAAATGGACGTGGATATGCTCACGAGCTCAGTCTTTGGACCCAACGAGATCTACACCCAGCTCAAGACCTTCAAGCAGAGCCTCTTGCCAGAGACGCGCGGAACAAAGGCAAGTGGCTCCAGCAAGAAGCCTTCAAAAACGGCAGAGAAGAAGCTATACTTTGTCAAGCTCGACGTGCGCTGTGCGTTCGACTCGATCGACCAGGCCAAGCTGCTTGGAATTATCGAGCAGATCCTGCGCAAGGGCGAGGACGAGCAGACGGAAGGCTACCGCATCCACCGCTTTGCCAAGCTCATGCCCTCCGCCGTGCATGAGCCTCGCTCGGCCGCCGCACATGCTTCAGGCGCGAATAATGCTGGAGCAGCTGGAGCTGTTCCTTCGCGCGCAGCTCACCCACGACCGTCGGGCACCAAACGTGAATTTGTGCGTCTCGCAAGGCCCGACTCGGAGCACATTGACTTTATCGACCTGGCGTCGTCTCTGGCCGTGTCGCTGCACGACGTCGTGTTTGTGGACAACGTGTCGTATCGCTACGAGTCGACTTCCTTGATCCTCAAGCTGCTGCGGCAGCACGTGACGGAGAACCTCATCAAGATCGGCAAGGAGTTCTACCGACAGCGCGTGGGCATCCCGCAGGGATCGAGTCTGTCCACGCTGCTCTGCAGCTTCTTCTACGCTGGCATGGAGGCGCAAGATCCCTTCTTGCGCAGCCTCCGCAATGGCGGTACGTCCGACAAGAAGTGTCTGTTGATGCGCTACACGGACGACTTTCTTCTGATCACGACCAGCAAGCGGCAGGCCAAACAATTCCACAACGTGATGCGCAAGGGTCATCCCGAGTACGGTTGTTTCATCAGCCCCGCCAAGACGCTGGTCAACTTTGATCTGGTCGACCCGATGATGGCTGCAGAAGTCGGGCCCCTGGTACAGCGCACGTACGGAGACGAGTTCCCCTGGTGTGGCTTGACAATCAACACGCGTGATCTGGGCGTCTCGACCGACCTGACGCGGTATGCCGCCACAGATATGCGCGACACACTCACCGTGGAATACTGCCGACGTCCAGGGGTGGCGCTGGTGGAAAAGATGATCCAGTCGATGAAGTCGCGCTGCCACATCCTCTTTACCGACACCGCGCTCAACGGCGACGACAGGGTGTATGCAAACGTGTACACGAGCTTTGTGGTTGCTGCGCTCAAGTTCTCGGCGTATCTCGCTGAGCTGCGCAGGTTCGGGATCACATTCACGGCCGAGTATCTGCTCAAGGCGATCCGCAGGCTTGTGACGTTCACAAGCAGGTATATCGGGTCGCGAGCTGCTAGCGCAACGGCGAAGTTGAATCCGACTGCCAAAGGCGACAAAAATGTACGACTCGGGAGGTGCGGAAAGAGGGCTGCAGCGTGGCGGGTGAGCTGTACGGTCCATGCTCCGTACGTGCACTGGCTCGGCTACACGGCGTTTCTCGACGTGCTTCGCCGCCAGGACCTTTCGTACCGACCGCGTCGACGCAAAACAGCGACAGAGGAGGAGAAAGATCAGCACAGCCCGTATCATCGAAGTATGGACTCGGACACGAGGCGCGCGCTCGTCAAGCTGGTCGATGCGTGCGTACGACGCACCTGCAGCGATGCCTCCCGACGAAGGCTCAGCAGCATCGCGGCGAAAGCCCTGCAACAAGCGCAGAAATCCTTGCACATCTAAACATCAATGCGATCCGTTTTGCGCTCTTCGTGTGTTCCTTCACGGGTCATACTCGCAGCTTGTTCTTCTACTTGCTTGTCAGAGTGTGCGCCGCCATGTTGTGAGCATGACGACCTCTTGGGGGAGAAGAATAGCAGTGTGTTAGATCGAGTGGAATTTCGGCACACGGGAATCGGGTTGTCGCTCCACCTGAAACTCGCATGAGTTGGTTTGACCAACACTTTCCTGCCACCACCAACCGTCCGCTAACGACGGAGGTCGCCAACAGAGCCAGAACGATGCAGCCGTGAGTGGCGCCACAAATGTCTCAGACAGGCGTTAGAGCCTCAGCGGGCGCGCCGCAGCCCGATCGAGCGGCTCGAAAGCAAGAACCTCGACAGCACACTGATGCTGCGGACCCACATGCGAATGCCATCGAGTCGAAAGAGAAGGCCCACGCAGAGCTATCAGATGCGGCTTCAAGCGTACGTAACCTCGGGGAGCGCAAAGAAGTGGAAGTCTCTATTCCTGATGGGCAACCCGGAGATGGCGAGGAAAGAGTCACACCCCGCACAGCTCACTTGAAGCCGCCTCGGGCTTGGTCTGCGCTGGATCGTTCCGCCCATCCGAGAATCACGTCGTCACGGTCGGTGTACAGCTACGAGCGCCTGAACCACATTCAAGAAGGCGCATACGGTGTCGTCTTCCGGGCGCGGCCACGCGATCCATCCGACTCTGACACAGACTCCCACCCGACGGTTGCGGTCAAGAAGTTGAAGCTCGACAAGAGCGGAGTTGACAGCGACGGCTTCCCGATCACATCGCTGCGCGAGATCCAGTCGCTCACCATGGCTCGCCACAATGCCAATGTGGTGCGCCTGCACGAGGTGTGCATCGGCAAAACGCTCGACCAGATCTTCCTCGTGATGGAGTTTGTCGAGCACGATCTCAAGACGCTGCTCACCTCGTTCCACCGCGCACGCACGTGCTTTGCGCCCTCCGAGGTCAAGACGCTTATGCACCAGCTGCTAAGCGCGACTGTACAGCTGCACGAGGACTTTATCGTGCACCGCGATCTCAAGACGAGCAACCTGCTCATGAACAACCGCGGCATCCTCAAGGTCGCCGACTTTGGCCTGGCGAGAAGGTACACCGATCCAATCGCGGGATGGATCGCACCTTCTCAGCCGCGCTCGAGCACAGGCACGACGCAGCAGCGCGAGCAGCGCGAGCAGGATCCTTTGAAAGGGGGCATGACGGATCTGGTGGTCACGCTGTGGTACCGCGCACCGGAACTGCTTTTGCTCAACCAGATCGCCGAGTCCCGAGAGCGAGAGCACAAGCACGCATCTCATCGAGCGAGCAACAGCCAGCCAGCCCCTGATCAAGCCCGTGCGCAGGATCCTCCCCCGCTCTACGACGAGAGCATCGACGTGTGGAGCATCGGCTGCATCTTTGCCGAGCTCCTCTTGACCTCCAAGACGGGCCAGGGTCTGTTCCAGGGCAAGGACGAAGTGGACCAGTTCCGCCGCATCGCCTCTGTCCTCGGCCCACCCAACACGACAATCTGGCCGGAGCTTCCGCTCTACTCGCGTGCACACGCGCGCATCGCTGCCTCGTCCACCACACCTGCGTCCGAGGAGGATCGCATCAAGCGCCGGCTCGAACGCGAGTTCCACCCGACCCGACTCACGCCTGCTGCGCTCGACCTCTTGTTTCGACTGCTGCATTACGATCCCAAGCAACGCATCAGCGCCAAACATGCGATCAAGCATCCGTTCTTTACGGCGGAAAAGCCCAAGATGGCTCATCCGGACTCATTTGGCAGCTTCCCCAGCGTCGCAGCGGGCGAGAGGGTGCCGCACGGCACGCCGAGCGCGCCCAACGAGCACGCGAACCGAGGCCATGCAAAGCGAAAGCTCGACGCCGCCGAGAAGTACCCGCTCCAATTCGACTTTGATGTGTAGGTGGCCTGCGCATAGCTGCAATGTACTTGTATCCAACTCGCAGAGGGCCTTCGGCGTGACGCAACTAGAAATCTTCGGCAAACTGAGAGCGTGCGGTGGGAGGGCCGCGAGGGTCTGCATGTCAGTGGCTGCAGAAGGTATCCTTGGGATGGAAGGGCGTGAGACTGACCATGGGTACGTCGTAGAACATCGGATGGGCGCCGAACGGTTCAGGGCCCCAGTAGACGAGGTAGGGCACGGGCAGCCAGACTGTGAACGGTGGCGGTGGCGGAGGCATACGCGAGGGGCCGAGCGCGAGGAAGGGTGCCGGCTCGAGCGCATCATACGGTGGGCCAGGAAACGGGGTCCACGGAGGCACGTCATAGTGGCGATGTTCGTGCGACCATCGTTGAGGTGGGCTGAACGGTGCATCGATTACACCCGGGGCGTGCTCGCTGGGCCGTTCCGAGCCCGTGGAGCTGCGACGCACGCGTGGCGACAGCGACAAGTCGGCCATGCTTTCTGCGCATGCCACAACGGACGCGTCGTGCTGATCAGACAGCGGCAAATCCTGCTCCACCTCGGGCTCTGGGCCGCAAAACACCTGTACCGTCGCGGGTTCTGCCTCGAATGTCCCCGTCGCACTCTGCTGCGGCGCGTTGTTCGAGTCGGTAACATCGCTGTGCTCGGAAGCGTTGCGGGTTTGCGGTAAGCTCGCAGCTAGCGACGGCTGCTCTGGCACAAAGTGGGGCTGGGACCACGTTGGTGTGAGGCTACCACGACCACGACCACCGCGAAATGTACCGCGACTGGGGCGAACTCGTCCCTGACCTCGCCCCCGTCCGCGACCAGCTCCTTGGAACGGAAGCATGACCGCCGCAGCAGCATCGGTGGTGCCGCCATCGAGATACGGGCGTGTGCTGGCCAAGTCGCTGTGGATTGTACCGCGGAAGTTCCCGCGCGAGCCACGGGGTCGTCCTCGTCCGCCACGCTGCAGGGTCGGGGCCCGGTGGGGTACCTCGGCCACAGCCTCGGGACGCGATGGCAGGCTTCGAGGCGGGTCACTCGTCATCGTACTCGAGGTCGACGTCGCGGTCCGAATCTCGGCTACGCCATCTCGGTGCTCCTCACCGTCCATGTCTGTGCCTCAAAAATGGTGGAGAGTCGAGGTCGCGGATGTGGAAAGCAAGAGGGAAGGAGCGTCGCAGCGGACGGTGAGACTTCGAAACGTGCGGACTGCGGATCGAGCGTCCGCATGACGGCAAACGGCGACTGAGCCGAGCAGGAATCCGTCGGTGATGATCAGACTTCTGACAGGCGCGTCTCTTCATAGCTATCCGAGCGGAAGATCCGACTGTGCGGCATGGAGCGCGAGATAAAGTTCGCCTGCGTCCGCTGCAAGCCGAGTGTGTGGTGTGGAGCCAGAGTGAAGCAGCGGAAGGCTGAGTCGCCGCACTCCGTTGCAAGACGGAGCAAATGAGAAGAGCCATTCGACACATGGGCGCAATTGACAAGGTTTCCGCTCGGTGGGCGCATCGCCACATTGACGCGTACTTCTGCACAGTCAGCAAGGCTCATTTCCCCACCTGCCATCCCTGCGCAGAGCCACTTGAGACCTGCACGCCCCGCTCTCCACAAGCAGCCCTTTTGAGTCGCTGAAGATTGACACTGCAAGAGCAGAAATGGCAAAAGAGGGAGTTTCGGTTGCAAGCGTGAAAAAGGAGGTTCCATGAATGAATGCGTGTGCTAGGTTGAGTCCTTCATCGCCGGCCACCACCAGTGACGCGCACAAAGATGCGGAAGAGCGACACGGTGAGCACGATGAGATATGCGAGGAGACTGACAAACACCAGTCCGATGAGCGAGCCTTGCAGTCTGCAGACAAAAGGTTTGCGGCCCGGGTTGTTGAGCGGATTCGGGCGGTCCGCCGGTGGCTGTCGAGGCCCGACAAAGGGGCTTCCGTACGTTACGCAGACCAGCGTCGAGGTAAAGTAGTTATCGAAGGTGAGCGACAGCTCGGCCGACCAAAGACAGATAAAGACGAGCTCGACCACCGTGTACGAGAGCTTGGACTGCACCGTCCACAGGCCGATCGGCCGACCAAAGTACTCGAGCCAGATCTGGAAGCCTACATGCAGCAGCGTGAGCGGCGCAAAGACAATGGCGAGCAGCGGCGACGCGCCTACCGCATCGTTGGCGCCTTCAGACCGGAGGACTACGAGCAGCTTGATCGCCACTGCGAGCGTTGCCGCCGTGAAGGCAACGTTGATGACGCGGAAGAGCAGGGGCACGAAGGGGTTGTGGATCAAAAAGTTCTTCCACGACTCGAGCCACGCGCTCTTGCGTCCGTCGCTCGAGCGGATCGTGCGACCAGACTCGGTGCGCGGGAAGTAGCCAGCTGCGTTGAGCCCGCCGTGACCGCGCTCTTCGGGCTTCCATGGAGACGCCCAGCCGGGCGTGGCGGGCTGGTGCACGGTGAAGACTTCAGGATGCTCCATCCTCGCTTTGAACGACATGGTCGGGTATTCCGGCTCCGGGTCCTGCTTGTGCTGCTTCTCTAGGTCGCGATCGTCGGCGCGTGTGGTGGAGGTGCCGTCTGGCGATGGCGAGACTTGCCGTTGCTCATCGTGGAGCGTGGCTGCTGCATCTCCGTCCCCCTGACCTCGACCTGCCCGTGCAGTGAGACGGCTCGACGGATTGGCGTCGCGACGCTTGTTGTTAAGAAGGCCGCTCGCGCCGAGCCCGGCCGCCATGCCATTCCATGTTCCCGCGCCTAGGTCATAGCTGTGGTCCTGCTGGTCCCGACCCCCCCTCTGCTGCATCTCGATGTCACTGCTGTCCTCACTGCTGCTTGCATTCGAGCGCGACGAGTCGGAGCTGGATCGGCGCTGCTGAGATCGCTTCTTGCTAAAGCTGCGACTTCGCTCGCGATTCGCCTGCTTGCTGCTCGATGCCTTTTCGAGCGCATCTGACTGCTCCCGTTCGTGATGGAAGGCCATGCGGAGATGATGCTCGTGTAGACGGGATCGATACTTTTGCGGAAGCGTGAACGTCCACCACCGATCAGGCGATGTACTTTGGGCTTCTTGCGCCTCGGCCTCCTGCACCGCTTCGGGAGACATGGCACGATCGAAACCGACTGCAGCCTTGTCGGAGGCCTGGCCGGCCTCGGTGGTCTCCGAGTGGCGTTCCGACGACGCAGCAGGTTGACTGGCATCGTCGACGCGCATCTCAGCCGCGGGAAGGGAGAGAGACTCCATGTCGCGGACAGACCGACTCAAGCTGCGCGCCTGTGGACTGGCATACGGAGATTGCGGAGGGCTCGGCGACTCGTCACGCGCCCAGACTGGCACGGTGACGATGGTGGGATTGGCCCTGCTTCGCTTTGATCCAGTCCCGCTGCGGCTGCCACCGTTCAGGTTGATGGAGCTGCCTGCTGCTGAAGCACGCTTGGAGAGTCGATGATTGCTCTGACTTTCGCGCAGATGGCTCGGTCCCGCCGTGTGCCTCTGATGAGACGCGCTCGGTTCTTTCCTCTGCTGAGAAGGAGCCATCGTACTTGTTGCAGATGACGATGCGAGGAAGGTGGTGCCAGGAGCAGGCGAAGAAGGCAGGGAGGAGTTGTCTGCTCTTCTCTGCGCAGACGGAGAGGCGAGCAGGCTCTGCTCGTCAAACTGGACCGAGGGCGCTAGGATGCTTCCCGGGGGACTGTGGGTATGGGTTGTTTTGGGACCTGAAGAAGCATCGTTCTTTGTCTGCGAGGCCGCTGTGGAGGCGTCAAGGCTGACAGGTGGAGCCAGTGAGGCTGTCCCCTGGTGTGCGGCTTCTCCCTCGACGGACGACATAATCGCTGCTCGCACCGCCGGTCACTACGAAGTGGGCCGCCTGAGATCGGAACGCCGGCAGCCTCTGCAGGAAAGGTGCGATCCGAGACCCGAAATGGACGAGTCTGACCCGCTCTGTGAGGTCGCGCGAGATGAGGAGGGTCGGCGCCCTGAAAAAGGGTGCGCTTCTGGCAGGACTGGCGAGATGAAGTAGGATTGAGGCTCGACCAAAACGTCGGCGTCGGCTCTAGGTACCGATCGTGTAGCGACTTTATGTGGCGTGGCAAGGAGGCCCGCGATAGGGCTTTGGTGGAGAGAAGGGTACGATAGACGGAGGGAAGGAGCACTGAGCATTGGGCGAGGGAGAGTCTCAGGAAGCTCGCATCCCAGATGAGGGCGGAGTTGCTCCGCGCCGAGTCGCAGCCTTGCCTCCTGAGCCGTTCTTAAAAATAGACCGACCAGGTGCGTCGGTCGGCCAAGCTGCCAAGCCTCGACTTGGCAGGGCTGACTGCCTCGTCATGTCACCGTCTCGCGCGTACACAATTGTGCCCTCCGTCATTCATCCCATGGAACTTCCGATGCCTCCCACCTAGCATTGGCTTTCTGGACTCCCGCACACTTCAATGCGTTCAGATTGGCTAGGTGAGGCGATAGAGGCGCTGGTCGCTCCACCTTTTTTTTCGCGCTTACGGGGCCTTTGACTGTCTTCCTTGGTAAGCACCGAGAGCACAGCATCGGAACGCGGGCCGCTCCTCCTGAGATCTGCTCATTTGCAGACTGCATTTCTTGCATTCTAGGTGGGGTAGCAAAGGCAACAGAAAGCCAACGCAAAAGGGGTCAACCGCTGCCCACAGGCGCGTCATACCAAAGCGTTCGTGCGGCCTCCATGTGCAACGGCTGCCAACACGGAGAACGTGTCGCAGACTGACATTTCGGCTGTGTGTTTACCCTGCTGTGGTGGCTGAGAAACATGTCGTAATTCCACAGCAGCTGCATACCGAAAATTTTCGCGGGAGGTTTTTGACGATCTTACATCTTGAAACTTTGATCTCACCCGCAACTGCGTCCACCGACCGGATCGCAGCAGCTGGAGGTCGAGCCAGCGCTGCAGTCCTAGCGCTCGGGAAGGAGACACTCAGCACAGTAACCGCTAGAAGACAGCGACGGGATGGGGTTTTGTAAGGGTTGAGTTATGTGCAGGGACTTGAGCAGCGAGCGTACATGTGTATACAGGAAACCGAAACATGTGTTCGTATCTCAAAAATAGAGCCGCATGTGTGGAGGCAAGAGCGGCAGAGGGCGATGTGAAAAGGGCTGACTGAACCGTGGCTGGTGGAGAGAGATCCGAAAAGGAGTTCCAGGGCTTGGGCTGCAGCACGTCGAAGGGGGAAACAGAACCGGGAAAGTGACGGGGGCGGAATGCGGAACCGAGGGAGTGATGACGAGGGACGGCGTCAAATCTATCGCGACCCAAAGGAAAAAGGAGAGGCGGAAACGGCGAATAGGCTATGCAAGGTAGGGCCCGAAGAAGGATGAACCAGGACGGGACGGGTGAAGAAAGAGGCGGAATGGGTTGGCCGATACGGGACCGAGTAGAGAACATCGGTGTACCAACGACCTTTTGGTGATTAGCGCGACGGGATGGCGTGGTTGGCAGGACACGTCTGCGAACTGTCTCGGCGGCCCGCTTAGACAGCAACAGGGTTGGACTGGACGACAGCCGCAAAGTCCATCATGGGTGCAGCCGCACCGCTTCCGTTGGTGGAAGCCTGCTTGGGCGCGCTGGTCTTGGCGTCGGCGTCGTTGGCCGACTCGCCAGCCTCCTTTGCCTCGCCATTCGCCGCTGGAGTAGCAGCGGGCTTGTCGTCAGCGCCAGCAGCGGCCTCGGTCTCCTTGGTAGGCTCAGGCTGCTTCTTGACAGGAGCAGGGGCCGAAAGGATGGCCGAGAAGTTGGCCTTGGGGGCACCGTTGGTGGTGGCGGCCGCGACGGGCGCAGGAGCCGCAGCAGCCTGACCCTGTCCGTTGCTCAAGGCCGGGAAGTCGTCAGCGTTCGGCAGGCGCTGGGGAGCGGGCTTCTTTTGACCCGCATTGCCCTGGGCGCCCTGGCCGTTGGCGCGACCGTTCGAGCCCTGATTGGCTCGCGAGCGCGCACCGTTCTGGTTGTGGTTGCCCTTGCCAGCCTGTACGCCATTCGCCTGGGGCTTGGCGCCGTTCTGACGGTTGGCAGCACCGTTGCTGCCGTTACCGTTGACCATGGGCTTGGACGGGATGGAAGCGGGGATTCGGTCGCCCTGACCTGCGGGTGCGGCAGCAGCAGGCTTGGCCTCGTCGCCCTTGGCACTCGCCGCGGCGCGCTTGCCGTTGCTGGTGTTCTCGGCCTTAGCCTCAGACTTGCCAGCAGACGCAGCATTGGAGCCGCTGGACTTGGTCGCGGTCGAGGAGCCGGTAGCCGCATTCGACTTGACAGCGGCTTCCTTCTTGGCAGGAGCAGATGCAGCCGCAGCCGTTGACTTGTCGGCGGTCTCGGCGCGCGAAGCGGTGCGGTCGGCCGAGGGCTTGGACGCGATGTCGTTCTTCTGGTTCGAGGGGGCAATGGTGGTCTGCGCAGAGGCGGGAGAGGTGGACACGCTCACGTCCCTTGGTGTGGCAGGCAGGCTGCTGTTCTCACCGTTGGCCGCAGTACCGGCTGAAGACGACTCCTTTGCAGAGCTGTTGGTGTTGCTGTTGGTGTTGTTGCTGTTGTTGCTGTTGTTGTTGTTGTTGTTGTTGTTGTTGTTG